GAAAAAAAAACAAAACAGAAGAACATCTAAAAAGTGTGGGACAACGACAAAATGTCTGACATGTGCCCCGGAAATGCCAGAAGAAGAGAGAAAGAAACAGCAAAAAAAGTATTAAATAATGCTGAGAACAGCCCCAGAGTAACAGACAGCAGCCACCCACCAAGGAGCACCACGCAGGGGCTACACACAAATCACACAGGGCAGCGGGTGCATTCAGACCACAGGAAATCACAGGTGAAGAGGAAAACTGACCTACAGAGGAACAAACAGGCTATTGCATCTGCACAGAAGACAGCAGCACAGGGCACACCTGCTGATCCCACGCGACCACCTTCCCTGACACCAGAAACAGACACTGCATGGAAACAACACAGCTGCAGGCACTGTCTCACAAGCGCACATGCAAACTCGACGAACGGGCTCCAGCAACGTACAGAGCAGGTGTTATACACTATGGCCAAGGGGCTTTCTCCAGGCATGCAAGGATGGCTCAACGTGGGAACATCTATCAACTGTACTCCATCTAATCAATAAGCTGAGAGAAAAACATCACATGATCCCATGAAAAGGCATTTGACAGATTCAGAACTATCGTGACAAAAACTCTGAGTAGGGTAGGAATAAAGGGAAACACCCTCAGTTTGAAAAAGAATTGGTACCAAACCCACAACCAACACTGTTATTTCACGGTAAGAAAACACAAGCTTTCCCCCATCACCAGGAACATGGCAAAGATGTCCCCGCTCACGACTCCTTTTTGCCATCCTCTGGAGGGTCTAGTTAAGACAATAAGACTAGAAAGGGAAATGCAGGTACACTAACTGGAAAGAAAAAATAAACAGCCTTTGCCTGCAGATGTCATCAATGTAGAAAATCCAAAATAATCCACCAGAGTTTGAGGCTGCAGGATGTACACTAATATGAACAAGTGGAATAGGAAATATATTTAAAATGTCATTACACCAACACCCCTCCCAAAAAATGCAACACTTGTATAAATCCATCAAAATATGGGCAAGATCTGTATGATCCAAACTATGAAGTCTAATGAAATAAATCAAAGAAGAGAAACAAGTCGGTAACATCCCAACAGCCTAGTTTTTATGTCTCATCTGCTTTTTCCTTAGAAAGAATAGGGAGTCCGCAGAGAAAAATCACATGATCACAAAAGTGAGCTTTTAAATGGACTAAAAATTTATATTCAAATGCAGGCAGAGAGAACTGAAGATGGCCCTGAACAATACTATTGCTAAAGGGTGGTGAGCGCCGAAACATTCTGAGATGACACAGAGGCTGCTCCTGCAGCCCCTTTTGCTGGCGAAAGGGCTAACTCCAGTGAAAACATAAATTCTCATTGCAATTGGCTAAATCTTAATTGGCCAAGTATGATGAACTAGAACAAGTTTGCAAAGGCCTGATTATATAACGATTCCCAAAGAGAAACGGAATTTCTTTTCTCAAGTAACTAGTACTTCATTAAAGTTGATTTTATTCATAAAGGAAAAAGCACGGAGACGACGAACGGCCACCACCTCCAGACCGGGGAAGCTTCCCCACAGAGCTTAGCGCCGCAGCAGCCCTATTTGGGAGATACCTCGATGCTCACCCAGTGGCCACTTTACAGGACATGCCCCCTGACAGGGCCGCGGTGAGCAAGTGTGCTCAGATTACTGCACATCGCCAGAGCAAGGCGTGGAGGCAGGGGACGTACAGGAGACTTTCCAATAACCCTTGGATCTGGAGACTTGCAGAGGTGTTAACAGCGGGCAGTCACCTCCAGGGTGCTTTCAAATTGAGACACATTTATGAAACTCTTCTTAGCCTGGGGTTACCGGGAGGTTGACAGTTTTAACAATTATTAATTGTTCTTTACCCTTTCGTTGCTATTCTCCTTATGCGTTCACTTAAAAAACTGGACAAAGGTCTTTCCAAGGACAAAGACAGAGGAAAGACAAACACATTCAATTTTATTTAACTTTAGTATGAAAGGCCAGGATTAAAAAAAAAAACTATCTGCTCCTGTTAATGCCCTTCACACGTCACTGGCGACAACACAAGAAGCCAGTGCTAGCGCGGCGGCGGCTCAGAACACGTGAACAAGGCGAGAGTAGAAACGGGCATGGCTTCCATGAGTGCTGCTGCGATGCGCCTCGAGGGCTGCAGGCCGGGGCGGGGAGGACAAGCGAGACGATCCCCGGCCTCACAAGCCGAATGCCAAGAAGAAAGTAAAGCAGAGGCAGGGGAAAGTAAAGACGGGGCAGTGTTGGGGCTTAGACCGGCTGGTCAGTGCTGGTCAGGAAAGGTCTCTCTGAGGAGAGCAGTTCACTAAAGTAAGGAGTCAGCGCTGTGACTATCTAGGAGAAAGGTGTCCCAAGCAAAGACGACAAAACGTGTAAATATCTGAGGAAGGAATGGGATTGGTGGACGATGGGAATAGCAGGGAGGCCAGTGCGGCCAAAGCCCAGTGAGGACGGGAACAGAGGACAGCTAGTCAAGGTCAGTTAGTGCGGCTTAAAGGTCAAGGTATGGCTTTGGGTTTGATTTTAAGTTCACTGGCAGCTTCGGATGTGACGGGAGCGAGGGATCGGGCTAGCTACTATTGAAGACAGGGTGGGTGAGAGCAGCAAGGCTGTTCCTGCAGAGCCCATGGAGGAGTGGACGGGACGTGGCAAGTTGTGGAGTGCAGCAGAGGAAGAGGTAAAAAGTGGCTGAATCCAGGACATGCTGTGAAAGTAAAACCCGAAGTGTTTCCCAACAGACCCCACATTTTCAACCTGAAAGACACATGACATCATTCACTGAGTTAGGCCCGCGGCCTCAGGGCCAGAATGATGTCTCTGTAGAGGCAACGTTGGACTTGAGCTCCTCCCCAGATAGCTAAGTAGCCAGCACATCGGTGACACTTAAAGCAACTGAACTGAAAGGCCACGTAAGGTGTGAGAAGGTGAGCGGAGCGAATGAGGGGAGACCAGCGAGGCGGGGACCACGAGAGTGCAGCAGTCTCAGCTCCACGGGGCTGAAAGAGGTTCACTCCCAGGAGGACCACGACAGCTGCAGTAGACAGAGATCTCGAGCTGGTCTTGGCAAAATGGGGTCCTGGGTGACAGGACAGTGACGAGAACACTCTGCAGCACGGGAAGAAGTCTGCCTGGGGCAGGTTCACCGGCAAAGGCCACGGGCTCCGGGTTTTTTGCTAGAGAAGGGCAGCGAAGTAGAAGGGTAGCTGGGCAGGGGTGCCGGAGAGGCAGCTGACGCACATTGCCAGAGAGGAAGGTGCCAAGCCTGCAGCACACGAGAGGGCAGCAGGAGAGCCGCCTTGGTCAGCCCAGAGACCCACCCTCCTCACCAGCAAGGGAGGCAGGAGAAGACGTGATGGATGTGGGGTTTCTCCTGATGGCCTCCTTTTTACTCTTCTCTGACATAAGCAAGACCATCAACTGAAAAATGAAAGGTGGAAGGAGGTGTCAGAAGCTCGGAGGTAAGGCAGGCAGGGAAAGAAGCGTCCTGGGGCAGGGAGAAAAGAGCGGAGTGAGTGGCCATCGTGACCCCTTGAGACCCGGGGCCAGGCCTGGCGTGACCGTCAGGATGTCCACCTTGGTCTCCAGCCACTCTCCGCCGCCAGATGCAGAGTCAGGGTTGTGCTCTCAAAAACAGAACGGTGGGCAGGTGGCGACAGAGTTCAGGGAACACAGGAGAATGAGCTGAGCGACGGGCAGAGGATCCAGTGAGGAAAGGAGAGGGGCCAGTCCCGCGGCGAGGCCGCTGGATGCGAGGACCGAGCGTGGGCCCTGAACCATGAGGTGCAGATACTGGCAGAAGAGGAACGCCAGAGGGTAGGCTGGCTGCAAGGGAGATTCTGGACGTGCAACAGCAAGAGCCCTGCTAAGAGACACAGAGCCAGGCAGAGGTCCAGGGCGGGATGGACGCGGCTGGGACCAGGGCCCTCAGGGAACTCAGAGAGCCAGGAGTTCTGGTCATCAAGTAGACACGAAGACTGAGAATGGGAGCAGCAGAGAAGAGAGTGGCGGGGCTAGCCCTTCAGAAAACGAGGGAGCGCACCCAGGAAAGTCGCCAACAGCAGCAAAAAGCTCAGTCTAAAGAAACACGAAGTCACCCACACAAGGAAGAGCCACTGAAAGACTCCCCACCAGAAGCGCAGTACTCCACACAGACAAAACAAGGAGAAACACCACATGACAAAGGACAGCTGGGACTACGTCGCTCCAGCGCTGAGTCACGTAGACACGGACATCGTGGAGGGTGAAGGCAGGACGCTGGGCCCCACCTAACCAGACCCTTCGGAAAAGAGGGGTCTGGACTGCGGGACGTGTGAATTACAGCTGTTTAACAGCAACTCATTTGACAACCAAAAGTATTTTGCAGGTAATTATTAAACGATACAGCAAATCCGAACTTTCCTCTAAGAGCTTCACTTACTCTGCAGGCATCAAGGAGGAGACACCCACTTCAGAGAGGAGGCAAATTTTCGCCGTCCCACAGCTGGGGACACTGACAAAGATGGCCCCCCACAAGGGCAACCTCTCAAAGCAAATGAAATCTACAGCCTTCAACGATGCAGTAGCTACCTGGGGCGCCTTCTCTACTCTGTGCAAGTGAACATTACAAACAGGATTCTGCAAGGCGCCAAAAGTCCAGCTATCCAGAAACTATTTGATTTGGCTTAACCTCCCACTCCACGATAATATTCACTCCGGGAACACAGGTTTAGCTCACACACATACGGAACAACAAAGTCTTAAACAAACACTGGAATTACTGTTCATTCCAGTTTTAATTTAGCTTTAATAAAATACTTCTCTACAGATACTAAACAATTTCTACTAACTCAGAGCAGGCGGGGGGGGGGGGGACTTAGCATTTTACTTTGTCATCATTTATCAAACTATTTCAGCAGACAAAAATTTCAGAACTCAGCATATAGACAAATGCTAGCTATAAAAATTGTGTACATTTTAAAAATTTTCAGTAAGTGTTGATACCTGTTTCCATAATAGTTTCTGTTTCTGCTGTCTCCAGCCCATCCATACTGTCTTCATCTTCCACTGTAGTTTTTCCTCTACTACGAGGCCTACAAAGAAATAAATATAGTTAAATGCTAAAGTTTAAGGTTCAGAATTATACTCACATAGTGCAGAAGCTGAAGGTATACAATATAGCCTGGACAATTTTTCCTAATATTAAAATTCATAGTGTAAAGCCAAGAACACCCCTTTGCACACGCACGCATACACTTCTCAGATAGGGACAAAATAGAATTAAAATACATATTCAATTAATCCAAAACAGGCAGGAAAACAATTTTAAAAAGGGGGGGGGAGGGACAGAGATGGACAAATGCAAAACAATGAGCAAGAAGATACATTAACTTAAACTCATCTACATCAAAAAACATTAAGTGCCCATGGTCTAAACACTGTAATTCAAAAGCAAAGATTTTCAGGGCCTCCCCGGTGGCACAGGGTTAAAGTTTCAGCGCTATCAAGCTGTCCCTGTGGATCCCTGGCCAGGGAGCTGACCCATATGGCACAGCAGACCTCTCCTGTCTCCTCTCAGCGGTGTATTTCAGTAGATCTGCCTGTTCTGCTCCCCACGGTCTCTGGTGGATCCTCTCACCCCACCTTCACCCCCTCCCCACACCTCTGGCCTGCACCTCGGTTCTTGTTTGCATAAATAAATCAATCTTTAAAAAAAAAAAAAGCAGGGCCTCCCCTGGTGGCGCAGCAGTTGAGCACTGTGCTGCGAAGCTGCCCGCAGCCTCTGCAGCACCCTTTCAATCCCCGGCCACCAGCGAGGGTCCCACATGGCGCAACAGACCTCTCCTGCCGCGCCCGCTGCTCCCCTCAGCAGTGTATTTCGTCGGTCTGCCTGTTCTGTTCCCCGCTCTGGCTCTGGTGAATTCTCTCACCCTCCGGCGCTTCTGACTGTACCCAGTGCTTGTATAAATAAATAAATAAATCTTTAAAAAAAAAAAAAAAAAAAGGCAAAGAATATCAGACTAAAACAGGCAGGACCCATGATGTACAGTCCATACAACATATACCTCAAATATAAAGACCCTTCTAGAAGAAAAGAAAGCTACAGGGACTGTATTAGTAAACAAAGTTGCCTTCAAATAAACAGCATAAGATTTACAGATAGATACTTTGTAATGATGAAAGCTTCAATTCATCAAGGAGACAACCATCATAATGCCTGCACAAACACTCAACTTTCAAAATACAGAAGGTAAGGAATTACACAGGTATACCCAACATACGCAGTAAGTGGCATCAGCACGCAGCAACATTAATAAAGACTGAGCAGCATTAAGGTGGACCCAGTGGACCCCCTTTACAGAGCTCCTCAACAACAGAACACCCACTCTCTTCAAACTCATGCTCTGCACCGCAGATGCAAAACAAAGTTCAGCAAATCCACAAAGACAAAGAATATAATCTCTGGTCATAATGGAATTAAATTGAAAAAGAAAGCAAAACAGATGTACACAATATACTCAAATATTTGGTAAAACAAAACAAAACAAAAACAAGAACACAAGTCAAGTCCCATAGTCAAGGGAAAAAATGACAAGGGAACTAGAAAATAACCTTCTACTAAATGAAATTGAAAACATGGCTTTTTGAAATTTTAAACTTCGGGTTAGCAGTGCATGAGGGAAATTCATAGTTGTAGATAGTTATGTCAGAAAATAAGAAAGCTCTCAACTCTAATAAAAATGCAAGCCTCCACTTTAAGGAATTAGAAAATGGGCAAATCAAACCCACAATAAGTAGAAGGAAAAAAATAATAAAGAGCAGAAATATAATATAGAAACACAGTAGTAGGCATTTTTTAAATCAACACAACCACAAGCAAAAAATAATCAAAAAAAGGGGAAAAGTCACAAACTAACAGAAAAATGCAACGTCACCACGAGTGACACGATGCACACTGAAAGCATAATGTAAAAATATTATAAGTGATTTTATGACAATAAATCAACAATTTAAATGAAATTAACAAAATCACTGGAAGGCAAAAATACCAAAAAATTACACTGGCTAGAAACAGAAACTCTGAATAGCAAAATACTCTTTTAAAACTGTGTAAGTATAAATTCTACAAAGAAAATTCCAAACTCTGATGGGTTTACTGAAATTTTACCAAACTTTTAGGAAATAATACCAATCCCACATTAGGTTCAGGAAATAATGGGGCAGGAGCATTTCTAACTCGTTCTATGAAGTCAGCATTATATTGACAGCAAAATCAGAACAGGACACTATGTAAACTGTTATCAATCATAAATGAGCCTATTTCATTGAATTAAAAAAGCATCATTCTGGGCCTCCCTGGTGGCGCAGCGGTTGAGCGCTGGGTTGCGAAGCCTCTGCGGCCTCTGCGACGCCGGTTCGATCCCCGGCTGCTCCCCAGCCACCGCAGGAGGGTCCCACATGGCGCGCAGACCTCTCCTGCCGCCCGCTGCTCCCCTCAGCAGTGTCCTTCGGTCCTTCTGCCTGCTCTGCTCCCCACTCTGGCTCTGGTGAATTCTCTCACCCTCCCGCGCTTCTGACTGTACCCAGCAAACAAACAAACAAATAAATAAACATGCCTCTATAAAAAAAAACAAACAAAATTAAGCTAGAAAAGCTTTACTAATAGCATACAAAGGAGACTTCAAAACATAATTTACCAGAAACGAAAAGAGCCATTACATATTGATAAAGAGGCCAATTCACCAATAACACATACTTCTAACTCTAAATGTGCGTGTACCTAGCAAAACTTCAAAATCCATGAACCAAAAAGAATGGCAGAACTGAGAAAAACAGCTCCACAATTATACTGAGAAACCTCACTCCTTTCTCAGCAACAAATAGAACTAGTAGAAAATTAGCAGGTACATACAAAAAGCAGGCCTCCCTGGAGGTGCAAGGGCTTAAGATGCAACCTATGAAGCTAGCCACAGCCACTGCAGCACAAGTTCGATCCCCAGCTAGGGAGCTACCAGCTACAAGGTGCAGCAGACCTCTCCTGACTTGCCCGCTGCTCACCTAACTCACCCGCTGCGCCCCTCAGCAGTGTATTTCATTCAATCTGCCTATTCTGTTCCCCACGCTGTCCTGGTGAATCCTCTTATCCCCCACACACACACACCTCTGGCCTGTACCCCAGTTCTTGTATGCATAAGTAAATGAATCTCTTAAAAAAAAAAAAAAAACGGAATAGGGCCTCCCAGGTGGTGCAGCGGTTGAGCGCTGAGTTGCGAAGCTGCCCGCAGCCTCTGCAGCGCCGGTTCGATCCCCGGCTGCTCCCCGGCCACCGGAGGAGGGTCCCCGCGTGGCGCGCAGACCTCTCCTGCTGCCCGCTGCTCCCCTCAGGAGTGTACTTCGGTCCTTCTGCCTGCTCTGCTCCCCGCTCTGGCTCTGGTGAATTCTCTCACCCTCCTGCGCTTCTGACTGTACCCAGTGCTTGTATAAATAAATAAATCTTTAAATTTAAAAAACGGCAGAATATACAAAAAGCAAACAATATCATCAAACAACTGGATCCAATTAACATTTATAAAATACTCCACCCAGTAACAGCACAATACACATTTACAGCAATGTACCTATAACGTTAATCAGTATAATATCCTGCAACACACACCAAACCAAGTTCTTAAAAATGTAAATCATAAATCATAAAATGTATGTTCTCAGATCATAATGAAACTCAACTAGAAATCTTACTGATAACACAAAAATCTCCAGACAATTCAAAATTAAACAGCACACTGCTAAATAACCCATAGACCATGAAGAAATTGTCAGAGAAAGTAGGACATATTCTGAATGAATGAAAATGAAAATACAGTATATCAAAATGTATAGACTACAGCTAAAACACTTGTTAGGAATAAAACCTGTAACATTAAAAGCTTGTATCAGAAAATAAGATCTAAAGGGCCTCCCTGGTGGCACAAGGTGTTAAGACGCAACCTATGAAGCTATCCGCAGCCACTGGAGCACAAGTTCGATGCCCGGCCATGGAGGCGACCCATATGGCGCAGCAGACCTCTCCTGTCTCGCCTGCTGCTCCCCTCAGCAGAGTATTTCAGTCAATCTGCCTGTTCTGTTCCCCACTCTGTCTCTGGTGAATCCGCTCACCTCCACACCTCTGGCTTGTACCCCAGTGCTTGTATGCATAAATAAATAAATCTTTAAAAAAAAAAAAAAAGATCTAAAAATCAACTATCTAAGCTTCTAGCAAAGTCACTAAAACAAAATAAAAACCCAAATGTAGCAGAAGAAAATAGTCAAGGACAAAACAAATTGGAAACAAAATATAAAAAAAAAAAAATCAATGAAATCCCATATGTGATAAAAAATTCATATCCAGAATTTAGAGAACTCCTGAAACTTACCTACAAAAAAATTTTTTTAAATGGGCAAAGGATTTTAAGAGACATTTGTCCAAAGATATGCATATTGCCAATAAGCACATGAAAAAATAATCAACATCTCTAATCTTTAAGAAAATGGAAATCAAAACTACAAAATACCACCTCACACTCATTAGAATCACTACTATTAAAAAAAAAAATAGTGAACAAGTATGGTGAGGCTGTAGAGAGACTGGAGTGCTCATGGGGTGCTGGTGTGAATAGACAATGGTATAGTGGAAACCAGGATGGCAGATTCTCAGAAACGTAAAAATAGGCACCTCCCTGATGGTGCAGCGGGTTGAGTGCAGCGCTGTGAAGCTGTCCACAGCCTCTGCAGTGTGGGTTCGATTCCCGGCCAGCCAAGGAGAAACGTGGCATGGCAGACCTCTCCTGCCTCGCCCGCTGCTCCCCTCAGCAGTGTCTTCAGTCCATCTGCCTGTTCTGCTCCCCGCTCTCTCTGGTGAATTCTCTCACCCTCCCATGTCTCTGACCTGTACCCCAGTTCTTGTATAAATAAATCTTAAAAAAAAAAGAAATGTAAAAATAAAATTACCACCTGATCCAACAACCACACTTCTGGGTACACATTCAAGACCCGAAAGTCTCAAAGAGATATGTGTACACCATGTTCACAGCAAGAAACTCACAACAGCTAAACA